TCTAGTTTGTCCATCTGACTCTTTGAGACGGTAAGCAGTCCCAGGCCATAATCCACCACTGACAGGATCAGGTGCGATATAGTGTGAAAAGCATTCTCTGCTCTATGTCAATTGCAGCCATAGTCTTAAGTGCACTAAGTCCTTTTTGGCATTTCGTCACAACACTCTCCACATGGTCCTTAAATAACAGGCTCCTGTCAAATGTTATTCCCAGATACTTCAGTTTGCCCTCTCTGTTGACGTTTCTACCATCTATCTTGGGACATTAGTTTTAACGATTCTGCTGAGAACACCACAAATCAGACGCCTTTTCCGGGTGGACGACAGCCCTCATTTCTGTACACTACTCAGTCACATTGTCTACTGTCGCTTGTAGCTCCCGTGCTGTTTGTTCCCTTTCTTCCCCCTGCCTATATGCAAGTATATCATCCGCAAAAGTCAGTATCCTTCCAACCCCTGGTGCTTCTAGGCTTGCAATCTTGCTTGTATACACGTTGAAGAGCACAGGCGAGATGGCGGATCCCTGTGGCAGTCTTGGGACCAAAGTACATGGTTCTGAGGTCCATGAGCCCAATCGGAGAGCAACCCAACGTGAATACAGGACAGCTGCAACCCAATTTACCAGCCATGGACTGACCTCCTTTTCCCTCAGTGCAGTCATTAAGATGTCGTATCTCACTCTCTTATAAGCATCCTCGAGATCCAGTCCTACCGCCATAGTTTCTGTCTGTTCTGGAACCCTGCATAGACGTCAAAAGCAAAAGTGGCCGCATTTGCCCAAGTGTCCTTTCCTGGCCTGTAGCTTCCCAGACCTCTTGGGAGAAGCTTCCCCCTTTCCAAAAATTCTTGTAGCTTTACAGCAACTATCTTCTCCAAGACCTTCCCAAATGTGTTTTGTAAGGTGATGATTCTATAGACACAAAGCTTAGAATGATCTTTAAAAAGGTTTTGGCAGTGGGATAAGATAACTGTGCACCCAGTCCTGCGGTACTGGTGCTGTCTTAATACTCTGGTTAAAACAGTCGGCCATCTCTGCCAGGTCTACATCGCTCAAAGCCTTCATGTGACCATACCTGACACCATCAGGCCCTGGTGCAGTGTCTTTTGCTTTTTTAAAAATTTGTTTGATATCTTCCACTTGTATCATGTCTTTATAATGCATATTCTTCAAGGTGCCAGCTAACTCCTTTCTAACTACTTCTCTGATGTCTACATAATTATGATCTGTCTGAGCTATAAACGTATGGAGAAAAGCCGACCGACCCTTTCTCCTTGTCTGTTGTCACACGCACACCATCGTCTATACAAATTGTTCCGACTGTCATAGGCCGATCTTTTCTTTGCATCTGCCTTTGCAGTTTCCAGAATTTACGCAATGTGTTATCGCCTCCCATATAATTCACAAAAGTTTCCCACTTTGCTCTTTCGGCCTGTGCAGCACAGCGCTTGAAAACCTCCACCTTATCTTTTTTCACATTCTGCGCCATTTCCACTTCCTCTCGTGAGCGGGTGTCTGTCGTACTTTCTTTAGCTGCTTCACTGCGGCTCTCTTTGCCTTCCACGCCTGTTCTACTTCTGGAGTCCACCATGGGGGCTGCAGAAAATTAGTTATGGCAGTTCTGTTGCATGCTCTCCGTCTGAGTAGGTTGTTGGTCCACTTATACTGGAAGGTTTTGCGTGCTCTCCCAACCTTAACCTTACTGAGTTTAGAAATCAATACTGAACATAGTAGGTGATCACTCCCATGGTCATTCAGGACAGTCCATTTAACATCTAAAACCGACGACTGAGAGACAAATTTCAAGTCAATAGCTGTGTCTGCATCTCCAGACCTCATTGCCATTCTAGTCGGCCTCCCATCATTAATGCAGACCATATCGGAGTCAACCATGTCCTCTGCAAAAGCGATTCCTTGTCGGTTTTCTCCATTGCTGTCCCACTCTCTGTTCCTCGCGTTGAAATCCCCACATATGAGTAACCTATCACCTTGTAACTCCTCTAATTCCTTGAGCCAGCTTCATTGTTCACTTCTGACAAAACAGTCTACCGTGGCATATATATTTATGAGGTTCCAACTTGAGCCACCAATCTCCACCTGTATCTTTGAACCTCTCGTCCACTATGGTTCCACTGGCTCAAGTCAAGCACCACATGCTTCACTCCCTCCTTCACCACCAGACCTTGTCCATGACTCTCCTGTCCAACAGGGTTTATATAACTGATGTACCCATGTACAATTACATATGTCTGTATTTAGCTCCTGGAACATGATGAAATCAAAATCAAAAATCAACCTCTCCAGTACAGGACCACTCTGCATGGCATTCCGACAGTTCCAGTATCCTACTCTTACATGATTTCTCCGCTTTTCGCCTTGTTCTCCTAGCACCGCTCTCCTATTTCTATGCCTTCTTCTCTCCCTATTCCCTCGTCGTCTCCTCCTCACTCCCTCTTCATTAATGATATACATAGAAAACCATCAACTCATACAAGCAAAAGACTTCAAGTATCGTGCTTCAAGGCGGGCATGTCATCGGCTGTCATCGCCACTTACACCTTCCACTGCCAACGAAAAATTATTTTACTATTTATTATTATCATGTATTATTTATTTACGTCACGTTTACGTCTCGAACATAGCGAAAAGAACGCTGGCTGCATGTTTATGCCACTCAGACAGAAACTGTAACTTGCGAAATCTACCAGTTACTAGTACTACAATGCTAACTGCACACGTATTGTCTCAACGGCGACGCGCCGAGGAAGAAAATATCACTCACCGTCACCGTTGTAATCGTTACCTGCTAACGCTTACACATGCAAATTGATCACGTCTCGCCACTGGACATATGCCAGCAATATTGCAGAACAAATACGCAACCAACACTGCGTCACAAGCCAGATGGCACGCATTAACAACAAATGGGCGAAAAAATCAAAAGAGAAATAAAAAGATCTACGAAGAATCATAAATGTAACTAAAAGATAAATGACCGGAAATTACTATGTCAGGAAACAAGGTGGGACGGAACCACTACTAAACTACATTATTAGGCAACAAATCAAATTGTTCGGACATATATCAAGATAACATATTAACCCGTTCCGACTTGGGACACAATGTCTTTTTTTTTAATTTTATTGAAGCCCCATCCCGGGTTGACTTTAACTTACTTTACAACCATCGTCGGGTGCTCTAATAAAACCATGGCTGAGAGGGTCATTAATAAAACCTTACGCCTGAACGGAGTTTCTGGGACTTGCGCCTGGAATATTCTCATCCGAATGGTGGCACTTCGTATCACTTGGTGTTATCGCTGTTTGTGGGTTCTTAGTTGGATTACCATCACGTTGATAGGGTGGCCATATAAAGGTAAAGTCGGGAGATGTGAACCAGCGTCATTGCACACGGTTATAAACCATAAGTGCTTCTGCCACCAGTACGGACAGCTGATAAGAAACTGTCCGCCTGTGTCGCCGTCCGCAAGTAACTCTGTAGCTACAGCGACGTTCCTCCATTTACCCCAGAGTGTCACTCTGGTACCCATTTCATAGAGGCTAGGTGAATCCCGGGAACCGCCCTGTTTCGAACACCGACCGTGGCTGCAGCGAGTCGCAGCTGGATTTGATAGCGAGCCTCCTATGGACTGCGCTAACGCGGCTCCCAATGGTGGCTATATGTCCCGCTTTAACCAGGGCAGTCCCGTTTTTCCCGGCGTGTCCTCGCCGTCCCGTCGGTACTAGGAATAAGCTCGAGAATAGAACATACACTTGTATTCACTGGTGAGAGGTCACAGAAACCGCTTTCAGCCATTAGGCCAGATCAATGGCCGGGCTATATTGCAGCTCCTGTAGCATTTTTCATTGCAGTTAAAGAGATAATGTTATGTTTATTTTTTGGTTGCAATGATTCAGGTTTCGCTACCATTGTCGAGCGAGTAAGCAGAACATTTACCTTGGTAAACTAGGAGAGATGGAACAGAACGAGAGAGAGAGAAAGAGAGAGAAAGAGAGAGAGAGAGAGAGAGAGAGAGGGAGAGGGGGAGAGAGAGAGAGAGAAAAGAGAGAGAAAAGAGGGGGGGGGAACTGACTTACTTGGGATTTCCCGTTTGCAGCTCTAAATAGTAGGATGTCCCGTTTTCAGCTCAAGATATCATGGACACCCTACATATAGTGCACAACAGACATCCCTGTCATTTAGAAACAATGGAGGCAGAGCTAAAGGTCGAACACGCAAGATATGGATAGATGGAATAAGTGAGGTCGTAAATACAAGCATCTACGTAACACATACCAAGGCTCACACCCGACGTCTTTCAAAGCCTGATGCATACGGGCAGAACGTGAAAAGAAGAAAAACATTCATGTTATTACTTGGTTATGTAGTAGTAGTAGTAGTAGTAGTAGTAGTAGTAGTAGTAGTAGTAGTAGTAGTAGTAGTAGTAGTAGTAGTAGTAGTAGTAGTAGTAGTAGTAGTAGTAGATTTTTACCCCACTGGGACATCACACAAGCGATAAACATCATGTGGATGATGATCACCCGTTGAGAGGTCCCAGAAACCGCGTTCAGCCATTAGACAATATTTATGGTCGGGCTATATTGCGGCCCCTGTCAAGAGCCAGGGTGGGGCTTCAAAATAACGAAAAATTGATTCTCACAAGGTGATGACAGGATAATATAAATGCATTGGTTTTATGCATTATATGTTCTAATATGCAGCGACTTTAAGGTACTTTTGAAAAAATAACGGTACCCCTTTTTTGACATATTGTAACCGAAGACCATTTTAACATTTGCAAGTTTTCCTTCCGCACACATAAACTGACTCACACGACACAGTGTCCGTGAGCGAGTGGCGTGACTTCATCGCAGGCTAACTTATCAAACAGCTCGGGCGATATCTTGGCAGTCACCGCCCACATGACTTTCTGCTGAAACTTGGTTGGCTAAGTCTGCACTTCCTTTCGTGGCCAGACAGGGACTAACGCACTGCGACAACAATGGAAGAAGGAAGAGGTAAGAGTAATACATCTTCTCCAATCTTTCACTAATATTAACTTTGATCTTTTATCTTAGTAATTATTAAACACACAGTCAGACACACGGACTGTTTTTCGAGCTTCACTCTGCACCTACAAATTGCACTGATTGTAATTCTGGAGATATAATGTGAAACATGGGTAAGATTTGTAAGTATGTAACTAAAGTTTCATAAAATAAAAGTGTAGTTTCAAGTTGACCTCTCCCAACCCAAGGCCAGGCTGTGCTAGTTAACCTGCATTCCCTAATATCTGTGCGGAGGTCAGGTGTCAAGGTTTTAGAAGTTCTGTAGCGCCATTGAATGGCAAGTCGGAATAGGAAGTAAGCACAATTAGTAATGTTGACTATAAAACTGACTCGTTAGTGACATAACTACAAAGGAATACCATCTTACCTAAACTTATCAGTAATTCATAACATAAGGGGATTATGTTGGTGGAATTATTAAACCGGTCTGCCTCAACCTGTTGCTTAACTCTGTCGCCCCCTAGCAGTTGTTGCCTAACACTGTCATTCGCTAGAAGTTGTTGCTTACAGTACTATTCGGACCTGCAGGGTTTAAAATATTACCAGGCGACTGAAGAAGTTAGTGGAATAGATGCATGAAAAACTGTCGTTAAAAAAAAATGACATTATAAAAAAAAAAAAATTAAAGGGGCTGCTGAAAGTATATTTCAAAATGTCTCACCCAGTTTCCCCGTGTATCAGTGGAATCTCTGCACTGCAACTGTAAGCTGAACTATTTCCCTACCTTTTCACTTTGTGCATATGTGTGTGTGTGTGTGTGAGAGAGAGAGAGAGAGAGAGAGAGAGAGAGAGAGAGAGAGAGAGAGAGAGAGAGAGAGAAACCTGAATTGTTAAAATGTTGTTTGTCACACCCATTTCAGTTGTCAGGAGGGGCAGTACTAGAATCCCTGGTGAATGCATATATAGTAAAATAGCAGAGGCAGGGAATGGGTGTTTAACCATTATTTTCAACTTAACTGTCATACTTCACAAAATCATTAAATATAAAACTACATGCAGCAGTAATGAATTCTGTAATAATAATAGCTTGCATACAAGTGCATTTTTAAAGCTATTTTTCTTTTATACTACTATCACCTACATTGAAACTCTTTGAGATATTTACAGTTATGTATGACAAACTATTGTTTGGACTCTTTGTATGACTGTTGGAGTTTTAGTTCTGATGCAACCATTAACAGTCTGATTGTATTTCCACCTCCCCCCTCCCCTGAGTGTTTAACATCGTCCAGATCCCTTTACAGAGGGTTATGATCTGTTTGTGCTTCCACACTATTTACTCCCTCTTAAAAGGCCCTTCTAACATCTAGCTTGCCACGAGTCAATCAGTATGTGGGAAATGAATAGGCAGATAGACTAGCTGTTTCTGACTTAGTGGTCAGAAACAGCTAGTCTATCTGCCTATTCATTTCCCATCACCCTGGCTTAGCCTGGAGAAAATATCCATAGAATGCAGACTACCTGGGACTTCTGAAATGATGCTTGCCAGTCTGCACCTTTCTCAGTATGCTCTGTGAGTCAGTTACAGTCACAACATGTGTGTGCAGCTAGTTCTTAATCCAGCAGAAGGCTGCAGTGACCACCTCCACCTCCGTTCTCATATAATGTGTCAGACTGTGTTGACTAAGCAACGTCCAGTAACTTTAGCTGTGAACTCCCATGCACTTCTTCCTCTCAACACAGAGCCCTGTGTATAGATAATCACATCACCTGTGTGATATTGTCATATAGCTTTATGGAGCTTCTGATTCTGAAGAGCCTGCTGGCCAGTCATTAACATTCATGGCCTAATGTGATTAGAACTCTGTATAACTCTGATTATTGCTTGGAAATTTTGATCCACTCCTCTCCTTGCCCAGTATCCTTAAGTCTGCACACATGTCTAATTGTGTCTTTAGCTTTCCCCATCCAAGACCTCTTTTCAGCCGGTGACCCTTAACTCTAAAGAGGACCTCATAGAGAAGGTATTTCTTGTCTGCTGCTTCTCTTGAGATATGACTTAGCTTGCAGTACGGTGAGCCTATCTTAGTTGAGGTTTCAGCTTCACTGTAAAAGTCTATATTACTTTTCTTGCAGCACTTTGTGACATCCCAGAATTATCTGCATGTTTTCATTCTGTGTACGCTTAGGTTTCATCAACTGACTGTTTGTTAATATTTGATTGATTGATTGATTGATTGATCCACTCATCAGCTTTATAGGTTGCAGGCACCTAGACGTGTGTTTTTTTTTTTTAATCAATTCTATTATGATAAGTGTTATCTTTTGTGAACTTCCTCTACTCAGAATATTCTACTAACTTTCATCTGCCAGTATCTCCTCTGCCCCGTGACTTCTCTTTTGCACTGCAAGATAATATAACATAAAAACATCACTGTGGTTATATAACTGATGTGTATATATACACAATTTTGCCTCAATGGCTATTAAATTTCTTGTATACACATTCTTCCTATAGGAATCTGATCATACAAAAATCCCTGCAACACAGTAAATACTTATATTTTTTGGGGGTTTAATTTACTTCTTTTTTTTTTCAATATCTGCTTATGCCGCTAGGCGTTGCAGTTCATCAGATGATCGGCAGCCGAGCCATGGGGTGCTTGGTCGCTTTATATGCCTTGGTGTTATGCAGTCTCACAGTGACTTCTTCAATCCATCTTCTTCTCAGTCTTCCCCTGCCTCTTGGTCTTTCGATTTTCAGGTTGTAGGCTTTTACTGCTGGCATTGTTGGTTTCATTCTCATTAGATGGCCACACCATTTCATTCTTTGTTTCTCAATAAATTTGACAATAGGTGTTGTTTCAACGTTTCTTGTGATCATGTCGTTTCTCACTCAATCTCTTCTGGTTTTATTTACAGCCATTCTCAAACATCTCATCTCACCAGTGGTTAGTTTTCCTTCGTGTTCTTTTGTCAGTGTCCAAGTCTGACACTGGTAACTTGAAGTCGGTATAAATATTGTATTTATAATTTGTTTCTATTGGGATAGCAGGGTCTTTTATAATTGAAGCAAGTTGGTACGTGACACTGTTGGCTTGTTGGATTCTCATTTCTATTTCTCTATTTTACCATTGTATGTAAAGATGCTTCACAAGTATTTAAATTCTTGCACTTGTTTCAGACTTTAATCTTTGATCTTTTTATCAATGGTTTGTTGCTCTCTACTTATTCTCGTGACTTGTTTGTTTTTTCAGTATTGATCTTCATGTCATGTTTAAGGCAATTGTTGTATAGTTGGTTTATGTGGTCCTGCAGCTGTTTATTTTCGCCGTGGAATATGCACTGATCCTCTGCAACGAGCAGCTCATTTAAGTCCCCCTGTTTGTCAGCATTCTCACAAAAAAAATTTATTACACACCATCAGAAGAAAAACTGGAGTTTGTTGCCATGACAAGAAAGTATGGAGGAGAGACCAAGAGAGGTCTTTAGAATCATGGCATGAAGAAACATTTGTATCAGAAGTGTGAAAAACATTTTGTGCAACATTTTCAGGTTGAGAGAGTACTCTAAATTAAAGTGAAACAAGGGTTGATAAAAAGATGCTGGTGTTATATGTGACACACATTCGGATCTGATAATAATGCAAGTAAAATATTTTTGCATTGGAACCTAAAGGGCCAGAAAGATTGAGGGAGATTAAACAAACAAAAGGAGAAGAGAATTTGAGCTTTTAAATAAGGTGAGAAATGTATTTGGAGAAAGCTGTATGAGATGGCAAAGGACATTATAGATTGGCGAGGTTAGGGCCTTTGCTACATTAGGAGTTTAAGGACAGAAGAAAATATTGTCACCTGTCATTTTATGTATATTTTGTGATGTCTGGAGGTTGTATGGTATATAGTGTATTCAGTGTGGCATAGTGCTTTCAGAGTGCTTCTTTAGGTCTATCATCTAAAATTATAGACAAATCCTCCTGAGGAAGCAGATGTTCTTTTATCAGACGCACTTGTAGTAGGGGCAATGTTAGTTACTGGGTCACATGTTCAGCAAAGCACAATGATACAACATCACACTAAGTTCAAGAATGATGGAAAATATAATGACTGGTTCGGAGAGAAACATGTAGAGTAGCTCAGATCTGTGTCACATCTGCAAACATGGGCTATAACCCCAGTAAGACAGAGCATTATCAGTCTGAGGTCAACTTGTCAAGCAAAGCCCATAATCTGTTAGTTTGAATGAATGGGTGACAACTGCTTGGGCAAAAAAAAAAAATCCTCATCATTCATCCTATTTACTTCTGGCATACAGCTTAGCTTTATTCAATGCCAGCTGTTATTAAAGATACATTGGCAGACACATTCACCAGGAGTCTTAATGACACTTGTTTCTGTTAGTAGGAACTTAATCATTAGTTCAGTTTTCTTTCAGTCGTGACTGTCATTTACTGGGTTGTGCTTTATCCAAACTTATGCCTTATGATTTGTGTTTTATTTAATGATTGACAGATGAAGCATTTGTTACACTAGCCACCAATGACACTTATGCCTTGGGATGTTTGGTGTTGGGCAGCTCATTACGAAGGGTGGGGACAACACGACAGCTTGTTGTTATGATCACAGAAGGCGTTTCACCATCATTGAGGTTATTATGAATGTCATTTTGAATGTTGTTAATTAAGCTTAAATTAAAACAATCAGAAGCAAACTCTTGCAATGGTTTGTGATTCTGGCAGTCATCAAAATAATTTTGATTTTGTTGTTGGTGAACTCTCCCATTGTACAATAGGTTATTGACTTTGTTGTAAATAAACTCACTTTACACAACAGGCTGACTAGTGAAATGAATATGAACCTGACAAAATTTACAAGAATTTAATAACATTTCTAGAAATTTAATTCTAACATACACAAATTTGATAAAATATTTCATTTTTACTTGATGTTAGCTTGGCTAGGGCAGGATCTTCTCAACAGTCCTAAACTCTGACATTTTATTGCTTTAGACTCTGTTATCAAGGGAATGTGGTATTTATAATTTTGTATACATTGTAATAAATTACAGTTCACTGTATGGATAGAAGTACAATACAACATATTTCATCTTCATTAATTTGTTTTATTGGTCTATTTTCTTCCCCTCTTTTACTTCCTTTTTTGTTTGAGACTTGCCACTGTCTCACTATGAATGTGTCAGCTTGTACATGTGATAGCATTGCTACAGATGTACAAATTGATATTTGTAAGATTTGTGCATTTTCACTGGTTACAGACAGAAAGATACTAAGAGCACAACTTGTCCATGTTCGATAGATGTATGAGAGATGGTTAAAGTGGACAAGTTAAAGTTTATCTCCCTCCTTTTTTCCTTTTCTTTATGTTTTGGGTTGACAGCTTGTTATGTAATCACAATCAATGTCTTTACACATTGGGCATTCCAATGCATGCTCAGTTCTCTAGTGCAGCAGCCACTTCAAGGTACCTCTACTGATTTTTCCCATGAGGAGTTGGTTTTAATATCTCCTGTATTGACCTCGAAAGCAGCAGAGACATTCTTCACCAAGCCTAACTCTCAGGTCACACAATCATGTTAGTGTCAGTGTCTAGTAAGGGCAACTAACCTCTTGTATTACTGTTCCCATCCTTTGTGCTGTGTTTTCCTATGCTGATATTGACCAGCACTTTGTGGGCTCATCTGAGTAAATGACAATGTCTTCTGGGCATGAATGCTGATCATTCAGCTTGTTTGTGAAAGGATATCATATGTCATAATCTGTATGTATATGTTAAAATTGTATGTCACTACATGAAATACTTCTTATGTCAAATCAGTGCTTTTGTATGGGGCGGAAACATTGAGAACAACTAAGGCAATTACTGATAAACTACAAATATTCATTAACTGGTGCCTGCGCAAAATAGAAGGAATTAAATGGTATGATATAATAATTAATGTAGAGCTTTGAGAGAGAACTAAACAGGCTCCTGTGGACCAAGAGGTGAGGAAAAGACGCTGGCGTTGGATAGGACACACACTGAGAAAACAGGAGAACAGCATAACTAGAATGTCTTTGCATTGGAACCCACAGGGGCATAGGAATAAAGGAAGGCCAAAAAACACACGGAGAAGAGAGCTGGAGAATGAAGTTAGAAAGATGGGGAGGACATGGGGAGAGCTCCATGCAATGGCGAAGGATAGAAAGACTTGGCGTGAGTTGGTGAGGGCCTATGCTCCATTGGGGGATAGAAAGGCAGAAGAAGAAGAAACTATGTAATTATGTAGCTTTCTTTAAATTAAACTATTATTGTTTATTGAGCTGCATGTACTTAATAACAGCTTTTCTCATGTATGTGACCACCACATCCTTCTGTTTTCCAGGGAACAATTAGGTGGAATTTTTGACAGCACAGTTACTGTAAATGTACTTGACAGTAGTGACACAACTAACCTTGAGCTTCTAGGCAGGCCAGACCTCAGTGTTACATTTACCAAGTTACATTGTTGGCGGCTGACACAGTTCAAGAAATGTGTGTTTTTGGATGCAGATACTTTGGTAAGGAAGTGTATGTTTTATATATGTTAGGCTGTGGATAGCTGTTAATAAATTTAACATTGTATACCGTAGCTGCAGTAAGTTATCATTAAATAAAAGGCAACATTTAGGAATTTATTCAAATCTTGCTGGCAAAATAATTAGAAACATCTAAGAGCACTGACTCTGTGAGACATAATACCAGATCCAGAGTGAAACAAGAGTGTGTACTATCTTTGCTAATGTTTATCATATCAATTGACATTATCAGCAGAGCAAGAAAAGTATGTGATGAAGCTGAAAACCCCAATGAACAGTTTACCCATGACCAAACTATCATTCGTAATTTTCTAGAAAATGTGATGCATTTAAATCACCTGAGCAAGGCATGTAAACATTTCCCCAGAAATACAGGAAGACAAACCTGGTCTTTGGCCAGCAGCATGTATATCTTGGCAGATACAAGATCTTGTTCAGCACCATTTGACCACCAACATTCTGATAGATTTGAACAAGGCAGCAAGTGAAAAAAATAGATACATGCCCTAGAAGAGTATTGTGATCATCGTCATCATCATGTGTCCTGCCAACTGGCATAGGCGCTTGTGCGTCTCCACAAATCACAATCCCTGGTTGCCTGGAACAGCTCTCTTGATGATATTCCTTTATGTCATTGTTTCAGCCAATCTAGCATAATCTCTCTGGGTCTGTCTCCACCCCTTTTTCCACTGATCTTTCCAGTTGTCATGATGTTCTCCAGTGTCTCTTTTCTCATTTTGTGGCCAAAGAACAGTATTTGTCTCTTTCTCATTGTTTTATATAGAGATCTACTTTTATCAGCTTCTCTCAAGCAATCGTTGTTAGTTACTCTGGCCGTCCAAGGTATTCAAAACATTCGTCTCAGAAACCACATCTCTGTTGCTTCAAAATTCTTCTTAATTTGTTCAGTGACATTCCAAGATTCGCTACCATACAGTAGAACACATTCTATGTGACATTTTAGCACCCTCTTTCTGACATTAAATGAGAGCGATTTATTGCATATTTTTCATTTTCTGAAATGCAGCTTTCACTTGACCTATTCTGCTTTTTTAATCTGTCACACATTTTCCATTTGATGATATGATTGTTCCCAGATATTTGAATTCATTGACTTGGTTAAGTCTTTTTTCTTTAATTGAGATATCACAACATGGAGTTATCTTCTTCTTTGATATAACCATTACTTCCGTTTTCTTAATATTCAATGAAAGTCCTTTCTTAGCACTCTCCATCCCCACAATATCCAGCAGATGTTGTAAATCAGTTGCATTTTCAGTTATCAAAACTGTAAATTATTTATATTGTACCCTCCAACTCTACTCAAAATTACTTCACTATATAGAGAGTAAAGGTCTGGGGATTAGACACATCCCTGTCTTACTCCTTGCTTTATCTGTTCAAAAGTACCCAATCTGTTTCCCACTTTAATTGCTGCCACTTGGTTCCAGTAAATGGTTTTAATTATTCTGAAATCTTTCCTGTCTACATTGAGGTCTTCCAACATTTTTATCATCTCTTCATGTTTAACTTTGTCAAATGCTTTTGTATGTCCATTGATTTTTCTATCAGTGTTCATAATATGTTCCCTTTACCTTCCATAAATCCGTATTGCTCTTCACTAATTTCCATTCTTATTTTTCTTTTTGTTCTTCTCATTATAATTCTTAGTAGAAGTTTGGTGACATGATTTATTAAGTTAATTGTACAAAATTCTTCAAGCGCAATTGATCCTGGTCTTTTGGGTAATGCAATAAATACAGATTTCATCATATCACTTGGAATGTATCCAGTGTTATATATAAATGTCATTCATCGGTTTAGTTAATATTTCTACCCCAAATTCCCCAGTACTTATAATTCTTCTACTGAAATTTTGTCTAGCCCCGTTGACTTTCCTTTCTTCACATGTTTAATAGCATCAATAACTTCTTCTTTTAGTATAGATAGACCTTGTAAATTTTTTTCTTCTGGTAATTCTGCTCTTTTCCATCACTCAGCTTTCTTATGTATTCATTCCATCTAGTTATTATATCATCTTCCTCCATTTGAATGTGATAATGATACTAATTCAAATGGGCTGAGTTTCATTTGATGGACATTATAATTTAACTTTTGTTAGTAAATATGTATAGGGTGTTATATTTAGTAGGTCATGAGGTTTTGGTAAATAAACTTGATATGATTCACTCCTAAGGTAGTTTTAGGTTAATATTTTTGTAAATAGAAGCCGAATGTTTGATTTAATCAGTAATAATTGGTGTAGATAAATCTGGATGTTGCATTGAAGAGGTAGTATTTGATACATGGTGTTTTTGTTGGTGATTAATCATTCCTTTTTACTTCCATTTCTATTATGGCCTCTGTGAGACCTGTGTCAATGGAACAACTTAGCATTGTTTCCTAAAATAGATACCTGACATTTATCTCAATTTTGACAGGAAAAGATAGAGGATAATATAGCTGGCCAGCTGATCTTATTAACTCACATCTTTCAGTGGTCATTATTTACCAAACCATTGAAAATAAATGTGGTGCCTCAGTGTGTGATTTATTTTGCCAACACATTTTTTGCCTTTCTTGTGTGCAGTTTTACTCCTTTTTTGTCACCTTATCTTTCTGTGAAAATGGGTTGTAAATACCTCTTCAGATCAAAAGAAAGACAAAAAGCAGATTAAATGCTTAGCATGACAGTTTAGCACTAACAAACATTTACCAGCATTTTGGAAGCTGGTTGCTCAGATGCAAGAACAGTCACTACATTCAGTTTTCATTATCATGTAGCAGGACCCCCCGACCCCCGAACGAAACTTGGTCTAACCCCAGCTCTATCACCTTATGTACTTTTCCTACCCAAGGTGTTTATCCTGTGCTCGTCTTCGTGCTGATTAGCCGTTGCCCCTCTTTCCCTGTATGATGCCCTCCACTTCTGCTCTTTCTTATCCACTGTGGCATTTGATGTGGTGAAAAAAAAGTTCAGTTTCTGAGATGGGATGCTGCTTAGGAACCAGTCTTCTTTGATGTTCAGATCTATTAGAATGTCAGTATTTAATTTCTTCTTGGTCCACCATAGTTGGAGAATCTTTCTTGGGCATTTTGGCTAGAATGCCTCTATTTCTGTAATGATTGCAAGATAGCCCTTAAGCCATAGCCATATTTTGCTACAGAAAAGATGCATGCTTTGCAAAATTGTAATTTTGATTTCCTGGCAGAAGCTTATCCATAGACTTTTCATGCTGTTTAATACATTCAATATTAGTGTAATGAAATATGTGATTAGAACTATATTCTGATAAATGTTATATGTCTTTGTGTTAAAATGCATTTCTACAGTGTGTACATTTGTGGGTAATTGGGAAGGAGGCAATCACAGGTTTACTGATGGTAATGTAAGAGAATTGCACTACAGGAAACTATGTAAATCAAGTAATTCAGTCTCCATCATTTTATAGTCTTGTATATTAAAGTAATGATCACTGTCTAGTGGAGAATATTTATCTTCTTCTAACTTTCCTTCTTGAGCTCTGACAAAATACCCTTAGCATTTCACATCCCTTCTGCAATATCTGCAATTGGATTACTTTTACTGTGAAACAGGTATTACAAAACATTGATGAGCTGTTTGAGCGAGATGAGTTGTCAGCAGCCCCTGATGCAGGCTGGCCGGACTGCTTCAACTCTGGTGTGTTTGTTTTTGTACCATCTGAAGAAACTTACAGAAGTTTACTCACTTTTGCTGTCACTACTGGCTCCTTTGATGGTGAGTCCTGGCTGAATGTAGGAATGTTTTTGAGATCTGGTGCTGAGGCAGGTAGTTAAGCATTATTATGCCATGATCTTTCAGGGTTATTATAGAGGGAAGGGTCACCTTTTCCTTAGAAAAAATTAATGCGAGCAGAAACATTACACACATGCATGCACACACAAGTGCACACACACATACAATATACATGCATTTCAAATAATTTAGTACACATACCTTACTGTGGACACAGGCATGCATGTTCACCTATGCTGGCTCTCCTGTCAACTACGGCCGGTAGACAACAGCAGACGGCTGGTTAGTCGGAGTTCTGTCCCTTGGCTACAGTGCAATTGCGGAGTGGAAAAGGAGGGAACGAAACAATTTACACAATTACTGTGTGTTGGCGATAGACAGCCTGCACTGCCCTGCAATAATCATACAGTTACAGTTTAGGTTTGGGTTAGAGTTAGAGTTTGGGTTAGCGTTACGGCTAGTGTCGCCGCATCTTGTCTTTGCAGACACTCAACGTAGCAACCCAAACCCTAACCCTAACCCTAACTCAAACCCTAACCCAAACCGTATGATGACAGTAGGGCACTGCATGCTGTCTATCGCCAACACACAGTAATTATGTTACTTGTTTCGTTCACTTCAATCCACTCCGTAATGCGTCGCAAGAAGCGGTAATTGAACGCGGTCGCTAATTTGAGTCGAAGCGCTGGTTCTGCCAGGTATGTCGACCTCACTTTGTTTTTTGATTCGTGCCTTCTCCACTCCGTAATTGCACTGTAGCCTAGGGACAGAACTCCGACTAACCGGCCGTCTACTGTTGTCTACCGGCCGTAGTTTACAGGAGAGCCCATATGCCTTTACCATACACAAGCAAATGCTTGCACAAACACCAGTACAAGCTCACGTCTTTGTGGAAGATTTATACAAATACTTTTTGCAGTGAGAGAGAGAGAGAGAGAGAGAGAGAGAGAGAGAGAGAGAGAGACCCCATAAAATACAGACACAAACATAAAAAAAAACCCCAGTTCTTTTACATGCCAGTGACGTATCGAGCCTAATAGGCTAGACTCAACTCGACATCACGGCAGGGCAGCCAGCATGCACACACACATGCTATGGTGTTAAGAAACATTAAATATTTTACTAAGAGGGGAAGTCAATAAGTAAGTCACAAATGGTTATTAAAAAAAAAAGATGACTTGAAAACCATTAATTTTTACACACACACTGTCCCTTTATTTCTCAACATAATTTCCACCAACATTGATGCACTCGTCTCATAGTTTTGTCAGTCCTCCCAAAACCTGCTGCATAGAACTGCGTGCTCTGTTTTCTAAACCACGTTTTCACTTCATATTCAACTTTTGGGTAATTCGCGAAATGTCTCCCACCAAAGTGGGTCTTTCGGTGGACCAAAAAGGTGGAAATCACTAGAGGCTTAGTTGAGGCCGCAAGGTGAATGTTCTAGAAGTTCCCACCCAAGATGGTCAATTTTCTGAGTTAACCAAGGCATATGAAGTCTGACATTATAAAGGAGCACTACTCCTCTAGTCACAGGCCTAGACGTTTTCTTGAATTGGATCATGAAGCATCGATAGAACTTTACAATATGAATCAGCATTCACTTTGTCACCTCTTTTTTGTTGTTTTTTGAATTGGTTAAAAGCACTCCTTCACAATCACAAAACACTGTCAGCAAAACCTTTCCTACTGATGGTGTAACCTTGCATTTTCTCTGGATGACCAGATTAGACTGATAAACAAAAACAGGAATAATTTCCTTATGAATGTCCTTTGCAAGCAGCATGTTGTTCTTTGAGAGTACAATCCACAAGTACAGTCGCCATTTTGTTTATGTGTTGCGAGTGTGCTTGCAACACCTAGCGTCACCTAATGAACTAAGACATAAAGTTTGATATTGCTGTTACCTGATGACACCATTAGAAACTACCAGTTACATTTTCCTGCCATCCCATAAGAATTTGTGACTTATTTATTGACTCCTCTATCTGCGGTCTCGAGGTAATAAATACTAATGTTAAATTAAACTGATGAACATCATCATCATCATCATCAGGTGCCTTGCCGACTGGCGTGGGCGATCATGCCTCTCCATAATCTGCGATCTCCTGCAGCATGTATCAGTTCATGTGCCGACACATCTCCATGCCATGCAGCAAGACTGTCAAGCATCTTCTCTCGTTGTCTTCCTCTATCCCTCCTTCCACTGATCTTTCCAGTGGTCACAACATGTTCTATTTTCCCTCTTCTCATAACATGGCCGAAAAATGATGACCTGTCTCCTTCTGATGTCAGTGATAAGTTGTCTTCAGGCTCCCGCCTCTTTTAAAACCTCTTGGTTGCTCTTTTTGGCTGCCAAGGTATTCTAAGCATTCTTCCGTAAAACCACATCTCTGAGGCCTCTAAAAATTGTTTGGCCTGCCTACCGATTGTCCAGGATTCACATCCATATGTTAAAACTGGATGTATGTAGCAAGCAAGAATTCTTTTTCTAACTCTCAATGACAAGGATATATTGCACAAGATGTTTTTCATTTTATAAAATGCAGTTTTTGCCTGTCCAATTCTGTTTCTTATTTCAGTTATGCATCTTCCATCTGATGTTATCCATGTGCCCAGATACTTAAATTTCTGTACTTGTCTTAAAATAACACCATTGACTTTTATTACACATTTAGGAATAATTTGTTTCTTTGATACCACCATTACTTCTGTCTTCCCATTATTCAAACTGAGGCCCATTCTTCCACTTTCTAACACCACAATGTCTATCATTTCCTGTAATTCTTTCTGACTTGTTGCTATCAAGACTGTGTCATCAGCATAACGTAAACTGATGAACACCAATTGTAATTATACATCTGGGTATCAAGTTGGAGTCTGAAGACAGTAAAATACATAGAAACTGTCAGAAACATCACTAACTGTGGCCTAGCCATAGCCAGTTTGTATGCACTGCTGGGGGTCATGACCTTGTAACATCCCAGTATGTCTTTGTGCAGATGTGAAATTCCAGTAGTAGCATTTCTCAGACTGCTAGTTTCTCAGCTTGGAGAGGGGAAGGACTTTTTTTTTTACATTTCTCCTAAAGTTGTAACAGTCATACAGAGCTCTCTGTACCAACCTGACTGCAATAGACTCAAGGTGTTTTTAGAGTAAGATGATGTGAACTCACTTAATTTGTTTTTAAGAGTAAACACTCTTTTATCAGCTAGAAATGTGAAGATAGCATGTTACAGGAAAATGTTTCCAGAAGTTTTAAAATTTTGTCTTGTCTTTTCTCTGCTTCCTCCATCTGTTTCCTTTTTTCATTCTTTCCCTCTTTCTCCTCTTCCTCTCTGTCTCCCTCTGTCGCCTGTCTGTCTGTGTCTGTCTGTCTCTCTCTCTCTCTCTCTCTCTCTCTCTCTCTCTCTCTCTCTCTCTCTCTCTCTCTCTCTCTCTCTCTCTCGTGCTGAGCTTTGATAGTTTCTTATTCTTTTCCCTTCCAGGTGGTGACCAAGGTCTTCTGAACCTATACTTTGGCAGCTGGGCTACAGCAGATATTGGCAAACATCTTCCTTTCATTTATAATGTGGTTTCACAGTCTTTCTACTCTTATAAGCCGGCTTTAAAACAGTGAGTATGTTGTTTGTGCCTATGTAGATTTCTTCTTTGTCTCCTCTCATTTTCTCTATATTTCCTTATCTATGTCCTCTTTCTCATCCCCTCCCCCTTTTTTATGGTTCTTCTAAATTTGCTGTGCTACCATAACTGTCTTTTCCTAGTGGCTGTGTCCAGTACACTTGAAATGGTGTTATGGTTGAGGGAGTGGGTGGGGTTTCGACATGACTCTGGTGATTTTTCTTTTCTTTGATGTGTTATATTTGTTAGCAATTCTGGCATATTTTTACTCTCTGTCTTGTCTCCCTACCTGCCACTCTCTCTTTATCTGTGTTTGTCACTGCCTTCCTATTGGTTTTTCGCTGTTATCTTGGTCTATTTGGGGTTGCTTGGAGCTGTTGTCTTCACGGCTTTCATCCTGCTTTTTCTGCAATTCCTGTAGTGCTGCTATTGTTTCTGCTTTTATGTCATTAAGTGTCTTTATTTTGTAGTCCAATATCTCTCTCATCTCTTTCATCTCTGCAAGTATCTGTCTTGCTTGGCCATCAATTTCTGGCATGTTTTTCTTTGGAGTCAGCTTTTTTGCTTTTAATATCTTGACCTCTTCTTCTAACTTTCTGATCTTATTCTGCATCCTGGATTTCTCCACTGGGGTGAAGTATTCAGATTCCTTGCATTTTCTTCTGGCTTCTTTGCATGGTATTCTCTCAGTAATTGCTATCTTGAGTATTTGTTGGCAATGTTGTAGATAAGGACATCCAAAATACCTCGCCCCGTGCTGTCCAAAACAGTTGCTGCATCGACGATTGCTATTTGGTTTTTGGTAATTTTTATCTTGCTTTGCCAATGGACACTCATTATAGGAATGAGAGTCAGCACAGTATCTGCAAATCTCTATTTTGCTGTGGCACACTGACTTGGTATGAAATCCCTTTTGACATATGGAACATTGGAGTACCCTTGGGATATATATCTCTGGTTTCTGTAGTTTATTATCAATCTTGACTGTTTCTGGAATACTCTCGTCTTCTGTCGTCACCACTGCTACTGTTGATTTCATGTCTTTGGAAATGATTCTCTCTGCTCTGATTATACTCATCTTCGGGTTTTCTCACCTCAAGTGCTCTGCGATCTCCTGGTTTGACCATTTAGTATTCACTCTCTTGACCACCCACTTTCAGATCTCCTGAAATATCTTGGCTGCTACCAGTATCTTTTCTGGTAGTTGTAATTCTATTGTAGGCTGTGTACCAATGTCCTCAGTCATTCTCTTCATCTGTTTTGTTTCATTCATCGTGATGATCAGACCTTCTTGTGTCTTTCTGATTCTGCATATGCTTCCTATCCCCAGTGAGATCTCCAGGTATCTGGTTATTTTGATTCTCGATAAGTCCAGGATTCTGGTTCCTCCTTCATTTATTTGGTAAATCTTTACTCCTGTCTTGATAACCGGACCGTTGGACATTCTTGCGTTGCTTGGAGTCTCCCTCTCAGCCGGCATATAAGCTTGTTCGGTCGTGCAATCATCTGATTCCTCAGTTGTAATAGTGTTCTTTGATGTAGTTGATTCTACTGCCAGCATGACTCTTGGTGTGTCATTCTTGACTGTATTGGGCGCATTAGTTGACTGCAAGTTATACTGGCCACTATTGTCCCTTTCTAGGATGATAGCTTCAGGAAAGTCGTCATCATCCTCCACAGCAACTACATTCTTCTTGATCTTTTCCTCCTCCTTACTTCTTCTTGGGTCACTATCTTCACTCTCTATGATGATAGCTTCTGCAAAGTCAAGATCATTCTTCACAGTATCCACGTTCTTCTTGGTCTGTTCTTTCTCTTTACTTCTTCTTGAAGCGTAAAAATCATGGCGCCTAGCTGCCTTCTTATATCTTGGCATTGTTAGTAGTAGGTGATTCTAGGAATAATGTGTAATACTCACAACACTGCTGAGAACTCTCGGTCACGAACACACGTTGCCGTCACCACCAAGCTCCTTGCCTTTCCAGAAAACGTCTGTGCCACGTTGTCTGATTGGTTAGAGGTAAACGCCGCCAAGCCGTCTGATTGGATAGATGCAGACGCCTCCAAGTCGTCTGATTGGTAGAATATCGTATACCCAAAATACTGTTTGCCTCCCTTCATCACTGCCTCTTTCTATACCTCCCTCCCATTCTCCTGCTCTGCCTTTTTTTTTCTCTATTTGGTTCTCTCCCTCTGTCTGTTTGCCTCTCTATACTGTGCCTCCATCTCTCTCTCTCCTTTATGTCTATACCTCTCTCTGCTTGCATCCCCCTTTCTCCCTGTCCCTTCTCTCTCCCTCTGTCTCCCTTCCTCCAACTCTGTCATATTTTTCCTCCATTCAAATCCAGGTCCAGAACAGACAAGACTTTAATTTGCTCCCCTCTACCACCAAGCGAACAAAAAAATTTAGATATACTAAATCTGTGCTGGTTTACCCACATGGGTGGCACAAATGAAGTTCCTTGTGTGCTCAGTACACCCTTGAACAAGGCAAAAATTTTGTTTCAGTATTACTCTGAGACAACCTTGAAAAAAAACCCTGATGAGATCTTTAAAAGTGCCTTGAAAAGCCTTAAAATTGATTGGTAATTTGGCTATGAACCCTGATAGTGACTTATTTCAGAAATGACAAACTAGGAGATGTAACAATGATACCAGTGAAGTCCATCTGTTCAAACTGACACAAAGAATACATGACGGCTTTCAGAATAAGAAGCATTCAGTATGGAGTCACACTTGACCAGCAGCTCAGCCTCAAGAACCATATTGAAAACAAGGAATAAAGCATTGAGTCGGTTACAGTTACTGAAGAGACTTGCAGGTACAACTTAAGGATCAAACAAGGAAACTCTGATGGGCTTGTATCTTGGATATGTTCACTCTATGATAGAGTATAACAGCTCACTGCTTACAGTCTACTCCAAAACAAACCTAGAGACTCGTGACAGAGTAAAAAATAATGCCCTCTGATTAATCAGTGGAGCTATGCGGTCTGCTCCATCTGAAATCCATACAAATGTGGAACCCCTTAGGGAAAAAAGCAAAATGGGAATATTTATTGTTTTGTGGCGAAAGCCACTGGCAAATGTTTAGATCAGGACAGCCTGGCATTTGATACATCATCATCTACCACTGGAGCTTGCCGATGGCTATAGAACACATACACATGTCCTAATTGTAACGGACTTGAGCTTCGAGCAGAGTTGTAAGGTCACGGGTAGTGAGCATACTTTGGATCTTATCCCCAGGCAATGCTGGCGTGGTGGGGAATGAACAGGCAGACTGGCTGGATATGCACCGCTAGGTGGGGAATTGATACATGACCAGGCAAATGTGATCAGAGCCCTTTGGGATCAAGCTGAAGAGAATGATGCACCTGGGTGTGACAAGAGGGTTCACCTGGCACAATATGCTCAGAGGAGAGGCAAGACAGACATACAACCAGGCTACGATTGGCATCATTAGTATTGGAACTCTGCGCTGGCTGCTGGGGATGGGGACGGAGCTTGTATTGGAATGCCCCGAGTTCTGTGATGTCAATTCCTGAGTTAACTCAACTTGCTGTGGCTATGAGGTCCACTTGGCCCTTGTCAATTGAGTATCAGAGATTTTTTTCTGGCATGGAAACTTAGTGAGGAACTTGTTTCTTCATCTTAGTAATATTGTGAGGTACCTATGAATACACTTTGTACTACTACAGTAGTATCTGTCATAGTATTCAGTCAGTCAGTCAGGTGCCATCTCCACAGTGTGAGAGTTGGGCAGTAAAGTAAAGGACCCATTTTACACCTTTGGTATGATGTTAGACAAATCCAGTCTGATGCATATTTAAACCGAAGACCTTCAGCCAGAGGCGAGTACATAGCCGCTGTGCTACAGTGGCTTCCACCACCACCGTTACAGAAACCAAATTGTTCTTAAGAAACTACATTATCTATTTTATTTTTCTTGTATTATCTTAAGGAATATCTTCTGCTAAGATTTGTAGCTAAAGTAGTTTTTTTAGTCTTCACAATCAACAGCTTTCGATTTCCTGGGCAGCTTGATATAAATAGATGTTTTCAAGTCCTTTCTGGTGTAATATATGTAATGACATATTTCTGCGATATAGTATCGGTGTCAAAGTTTGATGACTGTTTTATGGTTTTATGTTATTATTGGGGCTTGCAGCTTTTCCATGCTTCATTTTCGAAAAAAAAAAAAAAAAAAGCTTTTTCTACTTTAATCTGTCACTGCATAAGGGCTAGAATCCAAGCTTGTCGTTTGAAAAAAAAACCCAAAAATTGCAAAATGTCTTTGAGTAGTGGTCACTATGTCTGTTTAACAGCTTTGGTGCTGGTTGCAGTTGCGTAGTACGAAGGCATGGTGGGTATGATTATATTTACTGCAACATTATTATTAGATATTATTTGGTGTAAAAAAAAATGGTGACGTCATAAAATGTCAAAAATACAGCACATTGCTTTTTGTGGGAAAGTGACAAAAGCTACTTTTAGATGGCTAAAGAGAAGGAAATCATTTCATTAGTTTTGTTCTGTTTGTATTTAGTGATCACTTCTCTTCACTGTGTTTTCCCTGTTCAGATTTTTAGTGACTGGAAAAATTATTTAAAATGTTTTTAAATGTGACATCATCAGAAGAAGCGGATGACTTATCATATTAAAGCATTTTTTAACACAAAATTTGGAAAGGGATCATTTTTTTGGGAGCGAAAGAGTTAAAGTATTTGGTCTGTTCTAAAGATTGTACAGTTTCAGTTTTTTTTCTTCTGTGATGCCAGAATAGGCCTTCTGTGTATTCAGTATTTTTTAATTATATCAGTCTTATCGTCTAAAATTTCTTCATATTTCCCTCTGATATAACTTGTTTCCTATGTTTGTTCTTGTTTGTAAATAATCTTCTTACATTTTCGAGCACTTTCTTTGTGTTATCTTTCATTTCTAGATTCTCTGTTTCCTTACATTTAATCTGATTCCATGTGTCTTCAGCAGCTCTACGCATGCTATGTATTTCTTTGTCTATAAGTGTTGGTGCACATTCTGGATTTTTTGTTTTTAGTTATCATTTTGTCACATAATTTCTTCATTTATCCATACTTGAGTTTTCCTTTCACCAGTAGTTTTGCATTTGTGTTTTGAGACATTCCCATTTTGTACTGAAGTTCTCCTTGTGTGGCAGCTTACTTCGCTTTTATCTAATGAATGCGCTATGTGCAATCTACGGAGGGAATCGCAAACATTTAGACATCCTAAAAGATTATATTTCTCCCAGCCTTGCTGGTTAAAGGAGAGGATTCGGGGTTTTGCCACATCTGATTCCCAACTGTTGGCTCTTCTTTCAATACCAGATGCGGGCTGGACGGCTTAGTTCGGTGTAGTGGGAGTTCTCTCCCTTGGCCGCACTGCAAACAGTGAGCGGAAAAGTCACGCAACAAATGACATACTTACTTATCATCATATGGTTGCGTGTAGGGTTGCGTAGTCATCAAACGGTTGGGTGTAGGGTTGCGTAGTCATCATACGGTTGCGTGAAGGGTTGCGTAGTCATCATACGGTTGCGTGAAGGGTTGCGTAGTCATCATACTGTTGCATGAAGGGTTGCCTATCATCATACGGTTACGTGTAGGGTTGCGTAGGGTTTGGGTTAGGGTTACGGTTAGGGGTAGGGTTAGATGTGAACATTTTGACGTAGGAGTTCCAAATACTGGCCGACAATCTGATGCTTGTGGGAGTGTCCCCACTGAAATTCTGCCAAATATGACGCCAATAGCGCGCGGCTGGTGCCAAATCGTTGGCGAATTGTCCCTTTGACTAGCATCCACAGGCCTTCGATTGTTTGTGTGTGTATGTGATTGTGCGCGACGTCGACGAAGTTGGTCTGGTGGACTACTACCTCGTGCAGATAGATGCCATGCCTTAAGTTTGTGACGTTGATGTAGCCTCGCCAAGTGTCAATTTTCACATCTAACCCTAACCCCTAACCCTACGCAACCCTACACGCAACCGTATGATGATAGGTAACCCTACATGCAACCGTATGATGACTACGCAACCCTTCACGCAACCGTATGATGACTACGCAACCCTACACGCAACCGTATGATGATAGCTAAGTATGTCATTTGATTCGTGGACTTTTCCGCTCACTGTTTGCAGTGCGGCCAAGGGAGAGGACTCCTACTATACTGAACTAAGCCGTCCAGCCCCCGTCTGTTATTGAAAGAAGAGCCCAACTGTTAATATATTGTATATTTAAATGTACTAAAATATACTGGCTATTGTTCACTGACACAAATGACTACAGTTAAAATAAACTCATGAAATGGGAAGGACAGTTTAAACGATAATTTATTGAAATCATGGGACTGAATAATTAATAAAATTATCTGATGGTTGACAGAGGGTATTGATATATCCACATATCTGTTGTTTGTACTCCTTGGTTCAGCATTTGTATTAGCCTCAGAGACTCTTCTGGCCGGTCGAATCTTTTAGTCCAAAACTTCCACCTGGAACCCTGGTAGGGAATTCAAATGCAGATAGACTACAGTACCGACTACCAACTTTGGTTTGTACAGAGTCAGTGAGCTCACAGAAATCTGTGCAACGTCACCCTGTGTCTTGATTGAAAAGGAAGTAGGAAGTGCTAAAAAGGAGAAAGTAATTCTGAGTTGATCCTTCCACCTTTCCTTCATATTTTTCAAACTTATTAATTAATAATATTGCTGAAGCAATAAGAAAAATGTAAGAATTTTAATAATGTTGCTAATACAAAGCAATAATTAAAAGGGAAGAAACAGTTGTCCAGACCAGCTCGTCACACCTTGGGATTTTCATGCCGGTATTGTTTCATCCTTTCAGCCGTGGCTGCCATATTTATCTTTTACTTCCTCATCAGAGTATCGATGGATCTATCCAGAGTGCTGTAATGATAATCCTTACTAATCACTGATCACAGTAAAGTTTGTTATATTAGATCCAGGGCTTAGCAGCTAATTATTTGTGAAAGTAATCACAAAGATTTCTTTATGAGTTTTAAAATGTGACATTTAAGCTGATGGTTTTTTTTGTTCTTCCCCCCACCCCCTCTCCTAGATTTTCTGACAATGTGAAAGTTATTCATTTTATTGGACCTGTGAAACCATGGCATCATGCATACAACACAGAAACACGCACAGTCACACAGCTGCCCAACACAGAAGGCAGCCAAGAGTTCTTGCAGCTGTGGTGGGATATTTTCATGGACTCTGTCCAGCCACATTTGGACCTCAGTCTTGTGAGTACAGCATCCCACTTTGTAAATATTCTTGCTTATGTTTTATGCAAGAGAAACTGAAAGCATGCAAAATGGATTAATATTGTAGAATGATAGCTTAGTTTACAAATTGTTATTCCAAACAAAAGGTAGTGGAATGAACTGCATACCAAATTAAAACAGTCTAGTTCACATTTGCTATCTTTAATGTAAGGGGGGAAAAAAGGAAAGAATATAAGTTGAATTATCATAGGATCTAAATTTTGTCAAGGAATTTTTTGCTTCCTATAGAGCCATAATTTTTAAGTATCTTTATTATGTACCATATGCTAGTAATTCCAGTTGTCAGCAAAAACCATTTGTTATGTTAGTTATTCTCATTAATCTCAACATTACATGCCCCATAATGATTTACATGACCAGCAACACCATAGTTATTCCTATAACCAGAAGGAGTATATTTCTCATTATAGTTATTCTGGTTACCAGTAATATGGTTATTCCACCATAGTTATTTTATGCCACTTTATGCCACTTAAATAGTCATTTTCATTAACAACATTAATCCTAATCATAGCTATTCACATTGCGTTTCCCATTAACAACAGTACTATTTGCAACCGATAGTTATTACCATTAATAAGTAATTAACCCTCTTCCACACTTTCAGGCATATTGGGCATATAGTGCTAGACCTATATTTTTTGCCCAATCGGTACTCCCTGGGTGATGTGGTCAGCATCACGCCGGCTGCCTTTACTCCCCAGAACTTTACCTGGTACCCACTTAAGGCTGGATCAACCTGGAAACCTAGATCATTGAAAAAAACACACACCCTAATACTGTTCATGTTAGCGTCTAGCTGCTACATCACAGTGACTTCCATTCCCATTAATAGCAGCATTATTATATGGTTAAGTTAGTTGTGTATTCTTTACAGGATGTTGCAGAATCAACCCCAGCATTCATTCTTTGGCTGTTGTGTTTTTTCTAGGCAAATCCACATCCATTAGTATTATATATTAAATAGTACTGGTAGATATTTCCATTAACAACATCAGTGTGGGCTAAATTAATTGTTTATCCATTAACAGCTGGACTGTATACCACTAAAAGATATTTATTTCCAATAACAGCAGCACATATACTACTGATAGGTATATCCAATAACAGAACCCTTTTGTGCCAGTGTTTTAGATTACCATTCACAGCAGCACTATATGTTATTAATATTTATTCCCAGTAGTGCCATGTGTTACTGATAGGTATTCCTAGTAGTGCCATCTATTACTGATAGGTATTCCCAGTAGTGCCATCTGTTACTGATAGATATTCCCAGTAGTGCCATCTGTTACTGATAGATATTCCCAGTAGTGCCATCTGTTACTGATAGGTATTCCCAGTAGTGCCATCTGTTACTGATAGATATTCCCAGTAGTGCCATCTGTTACTGATAGATATTCCCAGTAGTGCCATCTGTTACTGATAGGTATTCCCAGTAGTGCCATCTGTTACTGATAGATATTCCCAGTAGTGCCATCTGTTACTGATAGATATTCCCAGTAGTGCCATCTGTTACTGATAGATATTCCCAGTAGTGCCATCTGTTACTGATAGGTATTCCCAGTAACAGCATCATTATATGCTGATGATAATTACTCCCATTCACAGCAGCAATATCCTCAAGATAGTCATTTTCATTAACATCAGTTCTAAATTACAAATTAATTACACAATTTTTTTTAAACCACAGAACTGCACTTTTTGTCTGTTTAATTAAATCAGGAATGAATGTACGTAAATCATGATATATTGCTTGCAAAAAAAAAAAAAAAATTATTAAATATTATGAAATCTTAAAGCTAAAAAAAAAAAAAAAAAAAAAATTGATTGGCTTCACTTCCATATCTTTCACTGTTTAACTTGTGTATATGTCTGTGTTATTTTTCTAATGGCATGACCCCTGCAGCGTGGGGTAAGCATTTCCACAATTATTAACACTCCTGGCTTATGTGTAGCACTGCATTATAATTGCCCATTATTAGCAAATATAATTACATGTATTTAGTATCACACAAGATTAACTATGTTACCATTATGGTATGAGGATAACTATATTGTTATTATAGTGTAACAAAAATTAAATTTAAACATATAGAAGAATTTCATCAGTAATATAATAATGGATAAGGTGACCAAAATTATGGAAAGTATTTCTCCTACAGGTAAGCAGTTTTTGTCATAAAATAATTGTCATGATCTTCTCAGATGATTAAAAAGTGAGCTTAGAATGTTTATATTTATAATAAAAGGGTCACAAAGTTACTAGGAAAAAAATGCACAAACTATTGGCAGGGGGTTTGGTACCACAAGTGAAGGGAAGCAAAGAATAGCAACACTGTAACCTGTATGTTTGTCATAAGGAGGGTTGATATGATAATGGCTACCTCATCCTAAAGAAAACTTTAGCTGAAAAATCCAACACCAGTCATGAAATAGTGTACAAGTGGAGCTTGGTGTGAGTTTGCTGTGGACCACTGAAAAGATGATATTGATGAAAGAACTCTTACAGCTATATAAGAGACTGGGATAACCTGCATTTAAAGTAGGGCTGTACCGAATAGTGATTTTCACTATTCGGCCGAATACGAATAGTGGGACCAACTATTCGGTCGAAATACGAATACGAATAGTGTATCATCATCATCAGGTGCCTTGCCGACTGGTGTTGGCGATTTTACCTCGCCACAATCTGCTATCTCCTGCAGCATGTGTCAGTTCGTGTGCTGACACACCACCATGACATGCAACACGACTGTCAAGAATCTTCTCTCATTGTCTTTTTTTATCTCTCCTTCCACAAACCTTTTCAGTGGTCACCACATGTTCCATTTTCACTCTTCTTATAAGATGGCCGAAAAATGATGACTGTCTCTTTCTGATGTCTGTGATTAGTTGTCTTCGGGCTCCCGCCTCTTTCAAAACCTAGTGGGTGCTTTTTTTAGGCCGTCCAAGGTATTTTAAGCATCGTTCTGTAAAACACCATCTCTGAGGCCTAAAAAAATTGTTTGGCCTGGCTACCAATTGTCCAGGACTCATAGCCATATGTTAAAACTGGATGTATGTAGCAAGCAAGACAGATCTATTGCATAAGATGTTCTTTTTTTTTTTTTTTTTATAAAATGCAGTTTTTGCCTGTCCTATTTTGTTTTTTATTTTTAGTAATGCCTCTTTCATCTGATTTTATCCATGTGCCAAATTCAATTTGCATTTAAATCATCGTTCATTCGATGTAATTTGAATGCACCTTCATATTCTCGTTCTCAATATCTTCAATTTGATTTGGACAAGGACACCCCGAAAGAACGAAAAAATGCATGCTCTCTCTCTCTCTCTCTCTCTCTCTCTCTCTCTCTCTCTTTCTCTCTCTCTCTCTCTCTCTCTTCTCTCTCTCTCTCTCTCTCTCTCTCTCTCTCTCTCTCTCTCTCTCACACACACACACAGATACACTTTCAAGTTTCTTCATGCCTTCTTTAACACAACAGTAGCGTTGCCTAAATCTGTCGTAGTTGGGAAAACTGCGACCCGGTTGCGTGGTAACAGCGCTTGCTGACTCCTCCGAGGCATTACAGCAGAGGTTCTAAAACTGGGTGCGTATGCCAGGGGTGCCGCGGCGAAAATCAAGAAAAGTCGGCTATAAATTGTGACATTATTAATGAGAGAATTATTTTAGTCCATCGCAGTGTATGCAGAAATCACTATTCGTATTCGGCCCGACCGCCACTATTCGGCTGAATACCGAATAGCTATTAGGTCCACTATTCGGCCCCGAAGCGAATACGAAGCGAATATTCGGTACAGCCCTAATTTAAAGTGGAACGTTTTACACTGTCATTAGAATTTCCCATCTGCTAGCTGCGGTTCTGTCAGATAATCAGTTTCAACTGCATAGCCAGTGGTCACTCGTTCCTGTGCCAGTGAAAACCTGCAGAATATCCATTACTCTCTCTTGTGGAAAAATTGACACAGACCTCAGTCTCAGCATAATCAGTAGCATACACAGACATTAAATAAATAAGGCAGCCATCAGAAATGCTAACACAAACAGTCAGACACTAGAAATGCAGTTACTCATTGATGGAAGCATCAGTTACAACAAATGAGTATTTGCACACTCAATTAATCACGTAAGGCACCACCAGTTCTTTGGAAACAGACCACTTAAAATTTTCTGAATCTACAGGTTTGCAACGCAAAACCAAATTGTCAAAAACACACCCTAAAAAAAAACCCCATTCCAAATGAAATCTGCAGCTCACGTGTCGCGCCAAGCACTGAACTCAGTAGCTGGGTGGCGAAACTGTATCTTTTCAGTCTGCATGATATTATTGTCAGAAGCAAAAACTTCCCATTATGGAAACAGTAAACATGCCTATTCTCCATGTTGACCAAAAGTTATCGCTCCATAGATGAGGAATGCCAGCAGACTGCAGATGTGGTTCAAGAATATAATTCTGTCCAAGGGATTGTCCGTGAATATTATTTTAGATCCAGAAAGATATTTCTGTAGTGAAAAGTAGATGGCAGGTGGAACCCACTACAATAGAAAAGGTGGACACCTGAAAAAAATCGGGTCAAAACCATTCCCACAAATGATATAGTTCCCAGCTGTATTAACAGTAAAGATGGAAGACATTTATGCTGAACCACACTACATAACTATGGCCAGTATAATAAGAAAAACTCAACATTTCAAACATTTATTGACTATAAAATGAGAACATCAGCAAAAAATGCTTGTAGTTCTATGGTTACAAACCTACAGGGATAGAAAGGCATTGGATCTAGAGCATAACAACAACTGAGCTTAAAATAATTACATGCTGTGCACATTATACTTGGATGTACAAGAGATACAGCATGTAGGGTGATGCACTACCTTTTTGATCTTCCAACCATGGAGGACAGAATACAAATTTGCTGTGCATGTGCCTATTCAGTCAGTGCAGACACATGACACC